TTCTGTATGGATTTTAATAGAGAATTTCTTATAGAATTTGGCTAGGATTATGTAGTATATATATGATGGCCTCTGTTCTCACAGTGTGTGTACTCTACTCAGAACTAATACCTATTATTAGTTGAGAACCTTGAACACTGAAGAGAAGAGAAGGTGCACTGCAGGATTCTTGTAGAAAATCGAGCATGGCGTCCAGTTCCGGTTCATCTGCAGGTACGGTTTTCTCCGTACATTGGTTTAATGAACAATGATTTGTGTTTTGATAACAGTAGCTCATATAACTTGTTATTGGTTTATGTTTATTCTAACATTCAAGTCATTGACCCTTGAAGAAGGGGCTAGCAAATCAGCTTATGCCATCTGGGAGTCATCAATTGGAACGTACATTCGTGATATCTAAACAATAAAACATTTGACCAATAAAAGAAAGATCCAAACAAAGACTTGTCCAGCACTCAAAATTTCCCACTATATAAAACCCATTGAGCTCTTCCATTTCCTCACACTTCCGATCACAAAAACTTCACTATATTAAATTGAGAAGAAAAAAATGAGCCAAACAGCAGGTAGGCTAATGAAGCCTGGTTTAGCGTTTGTGTTTGGGACCATGTTTGGAGCTTTCATCACCAGAGCTAGTCTGCACCGTTGCCACCACCGCTTTCACGACCACGAAGGTGATCGGAAGCATTGGCCTTGTCCTCGCCAAGCTCAGGATAAAAAGATTGGTTCAAGCCCAGGAGGGCTGGAAACTACAACCACTAGAAACATGGAAAACTAGCCCCATGCTTGCGACAACGACTTATATAACATAGTTACACCATTACGATGGTTCTATTCTAATGAAATAAAGACATGGGTAAACTTTTGTCTACATATCCTTATTTCATTGACATAAAATACTATGTAGTAGTGTAGCTGTGCCATCTAAGTTGTTTTCCATGCATGCATCGTGCATGGTCCAAGTTCAAAAATCAGCCCAGCTGGCTAGCTTTGCTTCTAATTTTATATGCTTCTGTTGTATTACATGAGTAGTATGTATTTGGGTTTTTATCAGAAATCAGCCCAGCTAGGTAGTTTGATTTGTTGGCCGATTGTTTCGGTTCTTTTTTGGCTTTTCTTATTGTTTAGCGTGCAAATTGGTTTGTTAATGAAACTTAGTGAGGAAATGAAGTCATCATGGTTTGTAATTTTCAAATGATGATTTTTTTTTTTTTATAATTTTTCTAGCAAATACTGTGAGAATTTTGGTTATCCTAAATCACATTTAGCACTCTAAACACACAACTTATTGTCGGCTGAAATTATAATTAAGGTATTTTAAAGAATTGACTGGTATTAGCACTTGCTTATGTGCCAAAGAGCAAATTAAGAGCGTTTATCCCTACATTTGAGACTAACTTGACAAAGATTTGGGTCACTAAAGATGCCTCCTCCCATCATGAAAAGTGAAAACCAATATATTCGAGGTAATGCTAGGGAAACTAAATTTGTAGACAAAATTTACAAACTAAATGATGTGTCGTCAACGTCCAACTTTAATATATAAAGGAAATTTGCCCAAAAACAGTGCCAAATTAATCAAGACTAAATTTTTACATTACAGTTTAAGAGACCCTAAAACGTTTCCGAAAACTGCAAAGCACCACAGGATTATGCCAGCATCCAACTAATTAATCGACGGTTCAGCTTCTCTATGTTTAGTTGATGAAGTAGCCAACCAAGATGCCCAGAAGACCGAACAGCACCACAAACAACAACGAAAATCCGCCACCGCCGTTTTTGCTAATTTCTTTTCTCAACACATCCTGCTCAAATTCAAAATTTTCTCTTATTGCCAAAAGGAAATAAACGAAAACAAACATGAAAATGAACTCCGATAAAGGGGAACTGAAGCATCAAACACCCAACAATACAAATAGAAACAACAGTTCATAAAAAGGAGATTGACAGCTGATGAAGTTAAACGGGGATACATACTAGTAGAACCGTTAGCATAGGGACAATCAAAAGCATGAGGCTTGGATATACGTAAGAAACTAAGAATTAAACAAAAGCTGAGCTGATCTTCCTCCGTCAATCAAGTCAGTGGAATGCTCACAAAATCCTTCACTCAATCGAGTCAGTGACAACCTCCCTCAATTTCCTCCCTCACCCTCTGCAACACTGGCACATCCCTCACCTATTCGCTCAATCCCATCGAACCCACACAACCCCAAACTCTCCCAAAATAGAGAATGACCAAAATACCCATGTCAATAGGCATTTCACGTTCAGGGCTTTAACCATTTATTGGACACCACCGAAGCCCACTTCGGACCCAAATTCTAATCAATGGCAGAGATGTAAATATTACGAAATCAAAGGAAATTCATTGTAGCTTAGGAACATACCCATGTCGTACTACTTTAGATTCGGATGGTCTGTCTATTCACACCGGTGGGTGGTGGTAGTGCCTAGTGGTGGCTTGCCGCCGTCTATAATGTCTATAATTCTATCAGTCAATTGGTTTCTTCTATAAAATGTGTGGCCTTATGCTTTGTTTATTGGATATTTATAATATTATACAATTCCAATTACTTTAGTCGGAAGAAGGAAATCCAATTGCACTGTTCAACTGAACAGTGTTTTGGACCGAATTTCACTTTGTTTACAAAAATTTCCACCACCCCTATATGTCGTTCAGATAGAAAATTTCAATTTATTTACGAAATTGCCACCGTTTTACACAGGGGAAGGGCGCCCACGAGTCAATCATCTTGGATTCTGCGTCGACTACTTTTCCGTTTCCATCCCCTATTATTTCCCTTTCTCGACTCTGTTTCCGTAACCATCCATCAAATACCCCGTCCCTCCTCCCTTAGATCCCTCACCGATTCTGTCTCTCGCCATTCTCAGTCTCGCCAACCGCGAACCCCTTGACAGCTTGCAGCTCTATGCTCCACCTCCAGATTCGTCGCATATACCAGCCGAGACTGTCGTCATCGTCACCCTATGAACAATTCCATGCTCAGAAATCAGAGATGAGAGCCCCAAGACAGTCGCCTGCACCACCGTCTTAGAAAAGTGAGCCAAAATCTCGCGAGATTCAAGCCGCGCACGAGCGAATCCGAAGGACAAACCTCCGATAAAAATTTCTCATCCTCTCTCTTCAATTTCATATTTGTTGTTAGATTAAAAGGGAAAAATATGAGAACTAACTCGAGCAAATGTTCTGGATGTAAGCTAAAAGATCAATTTAGCTTTTCTTCCCTGTCAATTTAGTGCTTTTTCTTTTCTTATTACCTTTAGGAGTTAATTTTTTGAGATATAATATGACTAACAAATTTACTGTTGCCTCTGTCATCTTTTTTGCTGAAGATTTCTTTTTTAAAAATTGTATGCCATGACAAAATAAGGGTTGTATTCAATTGAAAATTTGAGAGATTTTAATGAATTTATAAATCCATGAATTTTTATGGAGTTTAATTGATATGTAGAGATTTCATATAAAATTTTGATTCAATTCTCTCAAAATCTCATGGGGAGAGGTGAGATTTGTAGATGCTTAAAATACACTACGAAATATCTCAAATTCCCTCTAATTCCTCAACTTTCTCAAATTCTTTAAAATCAATTTCTAATTGAATACACCTAGAATGTTATAAACTTTTTTAAAATCCTAATTGAATACACCGGATTTCTAAGGATTTTAATAAACTATCTTAAAATTATAATTGAATACATATTGAATTTCAGAGAATCACTTAAAAATCCTAATTGAATACCCCTAGATTCATATAAAGAATTAAAATCCCTCAAAATCCCAATTGAATACACCCCTAAATTTACAAATTGCTAATTTTCTGTTTTGTATAAAATCTTTGTTCACTCTACCTGAACAGGTACACTTGACTGATAAGGAAAGTCTTCATATTAAATCCATGTTAGCCTCTATCGTGTTCTTTGTATTTCGTTATCTGAACTCTGTTATTTGAATTTGGTCACCTGAATTGTGCCTAATATTTGATGTGGCTAGTAGCCTTGTATGGTTGGCTGGTGTGATTTGGGAGTGCTTTTGGTCAATGGGAGACAGGGGACACAGGTGTGGAGCAGCAAAGTCAAGTGGGATTAGGAATTTAGGATGGTAGAATTTTTGCTAATTTATGGGATTAGAAGTCTTCCTTTATTTTTGTCTTGGTGTGATCAATTGTAACAAAGAATTTTCATTAAATTGAGGTAGTGAACCTACTAATTTTCATATGTTGTTTGTCTACAGTCTTCTCCATTCTCTTGGACCAAGCATGAAATCCCAAGCACTATATCACCACAAAGCAAGCAAGCTGAAAGCAATCCAAAGAAACCCTTTTTCCAGAAGCACTTAACAAAACCTTTCTATGGATGAATTGTTGTTTCAATTATACCAGATTGAAAACAAGTATGGAACCATTGATCAAGCATACGGGGCTGTCGCCCAAACCTATATTAAGTGGGCAACAAGCATGGTTGTGTCCTTAGATACAGGTGTGCCCTGTTAAATGTAATCTTGTCTTGGCCCAAAATAATGGATCCAGCCCATGCACAAAGAAAGATTCATGCACATGCTAGAGAATTTTAGTAAAGTTCAAGTTGGTGGAAGAGTCTAGAAGAATGATGAAGATTCCACCAACATACAAGATTAGTGTAGATAATACTAGCATAGAAAGGTAGTGGAATTATCTAGATATATCTAGCATGATGTTTCCATGCTTCTCCAAGGTTCCATCCATGCCTATAAAAGGAGGAGGCATCCACACCATTTGGAACAACCAAGAGAGCAAGTAGTGAGAAGTGAGAAGAAGCAACAAAGCTTCTAAGAGTGTTTGAGTGTTTCCTCTTGTACTAAGTTTGTTAGTGAATAAAAATCTTGTGTAATACATTGAGTGTACTTTCTTTCTCTTGCTTATCAGTTCCGCTGCATTACATTATTCTTTGTGAGATAAACGTTTCCAAAGTAGTGAAGTCTTTTTAAGCCCCAATATGCCCTAGGTCATGTGCCAACAAGACGATGCTCCTGCATCCGCGGTGAGGCTTTTGTAGTATGTTTTCATTTGTATTGTATTGTATTGACTTTGACCTTTTTGATCAACGTCCAATAGCAGTAGGTGCAGTAATTCTCAAACCCTAATTTTAACTGTTTGGATCATTGCAGATTTGGGTTATTTATTTATTTATTTTAATTGCGTTGCTTCTACTTGCTGTATATTGGCTGATGGATTTCAGAGTATTTTTTGTTTTGTGACTGGATTTCGTTGTGTCGGATTAGTTTGGTTTGCTATGATCGGTGAACCTTATGTTATTTTTTATGGGTTTGGTTAACATGGTTTTCATTCCTTTTCAGATTTGTTTCGACACACACTTCTCAAAATTTGCGGGATGCTATGATGATATTTTCTATGATGTAAACAAATTAACTATTTAATGTCAATAGTTTGTGTTATATAAAGCTACGCATGTTAGGAGTAAAGTAATTTATTATTTGTTCTTAGCCCCTGGTTTATAAATCCCAACTTTAAAATTCCCAGTGGATGTGTCTGTTAATCGATTGCGTTTGGGATAGAAATTTGTGTGTTTTATTTATTTATTTATTCGGGTTTTTGTAGCTGATGCTGATACATATTAGGTTTTGTGTTACTGGGTTTTATCACTAATTAATTGTCAATTGGATTTTCCGGTTTCAAAAATAGGTGAGGCGTCGACTAATCAGCTGGCTGATCAGCAGATGCCAGTGTATAATCTTGCATCGAAGATTCTTTGTTGGGTTATCAATGTATTATTGAAGGTTGTGGTGGCTGATCTGATAAAGAAAACTAAGAATTTTAGATTTAATTGTTTAGCTGCTTCTTTTCTACTCAAGTTATTGGGCTTTGCAAGGGAATAATATGTTTCTTTCTGCTGAATTATAGGCTGAACCAGACACTGAAGAATTATTTGCACAACTCACTTTACTTCCCAAATCAAATGTAAGTTGTTAGCTTGAGAATTCTGATTTATTGTGGGCGGGTAAAATTGATTATGGGTTGAGATTCTGTTGGTTTGATGTTCTTATAAATTTGAGCAAGATGAGAATGCAGTGGAGAAGGAAATAACATAGGCACGCGTCCTTAAATGTGAAAAGACTTTGGTTAGGCAAAGCCAAATTAAGGAAGAGAAGAATAGGTAGAGGCTAAAACCTAATCAAGTGGAAATTTTAGGTATAAAATGTGCAGTGAGTCAAGAAATTATACAATGGTGTCCAGCTGCTTTCCACCACGGCCACGTTAAACGGCTTAGTTCTTTTTCCAAGTGCAAGAAATAAATGGCACTTGAATCATAGAAATATTAACATCTATATACTCAAATGAAAAAAACTGCATATTTGAAAGGAAAAAACACACCAGCACACACTTGGAAATAGCTGGAGATATTGGCAAACCTCACAATGTATATGCATGCTTTAGCGATATTTATAATGAGGATATTTATATTGGCAAACCTCACTTATGCTCTGTACACATTCTACTGTTTAAGTAATGAACAAAACTATTCTCAATGTCTCTAGTTATTCATTTATTATCTTCAACGATTTCGAAACCTGCTACTATAGTTTACAGAATGGTTATGTCACACTCTGCTATTCTTCCTGTCAGAATCGGGAAGGTTTGCATCTATTCAAATAATGACTTCTAAATTTTGTCTTTACAGGGAGGCTTGATTGATAGTGACGCTTTAACCCACAAGAGGAATGTTAATACCACAACGCAGTTCAAGTTGGGCCACTGGTGACTTTTCTGCTTAAATGGATTCATCAACTCAATTTTGTCGTTAATTTTTGTTTTGAGTCCATTTTCCTTGATGATGTTGTATTAGGATTTTAAGCTTAGTCGTTCAGGCGTGACACATTTTCAGTGGGAAGTCACAAGCATAATTCATTTTTCTTAAATTAGACTCAAGATTTTTATGTGCATTATTCTTCTGTTTTACGAATATAATTGGCTAAGCCTTAATGATATTGTTGACGAATCTTCACAAAAGGATTTAATTGCCTAAGCCTTATATGTTCATCCGTTTTACGAATTTAATTGGCTAAGCCTTATATGTTCATCTTTTGTGAGTATTCATTCTAGGATTCTTCACAAATTTCTGAGAATTTCATTTGATCCATACTATGGCCGTTGAAATGTTAGTACCTTTTTTAAATTCAATTTTTTTTATTTACAGAATTGTATAATCCTACAAGAAGAGAAGAGAACATGTGATCACCTACAAGAGTGGGTCGTCAAAAACACAAATAGATTTTCTTCTAATGAGGAAAGGGGACCGTATAACTTGTAAGGATTGCAAAGTTATACGGGGAGAGAGCTTGGCTAATCAACATCGCTTGTTGGTGATGGATGTACATATCAAAAGAGAGAGAAAAAAGAACAAGACTTGGAAGTGCCCAAGGACTAGATGGTGGAATCTAAAAGGAGAAAAACAAGCCATTTTCAAAGAGACAGTAATCACCCAATGCGTGTGGGATAGAGAGGGGGAAGCTAGCCAAAGGTGGGATTCCATGGCTAGTTGTATCTGAAAAGTAGCAAAAGAGGTATTAGGAGAGTCCAAGGGCTTTGCTCCACACCAAAAGGAATCTTGGTGGTGGAATGAGGAGGTACAAACAAAGGTGAAGGCTAAGAAGGAATGTTGTAAAGCCTTATACAAGGATACGACCAATGAAAATGGTGAAAGGTATAGAAAAGCAAAGCAAGAGGTGAAGAAAGCTGTGAGAGAAGCTAAGCTAGCGGCTTATGACGATATGTATAAGCGACTAGATACCAAAGAATGAGAGTTGGATATCTATAAACTAGCTAAATCAAGGGAAAAGAAGACAAGGGACCTAAACCAAGTGAGGTGCATCAATGATGAGGATGGAAAGGTTCTTGCTACAGAGAACGCGGTCAAAGACAGATGGGGAGGTTATTTTCATAATCTTTTCAATGAAGGACATGAAAGGAGTACTTCTTTAGGGGAGTTAAGTAACTCAGAAGAGTGTAGAAACTACTCCTTTTACCGCCAAATTAGGAGGGAAGAAGTGGTTGTAGCTTTGAAAAAGATGAAGCATAGAAACGCGATGGGCCCAAATGATATACCGATTAAAGTGTGGAAAGTCTTGGGAGAGACGGGTATAGCATGGCTCACTGACCTTTTCAATAGGATTTTGAAAACGAAGAAGATGCCAAATGAGTGGCGAAAGAGCACTTTGGTGCCTATCTACAAGAATAAGGGTGACGTACAAAATTGCATGAACTATAGGGGTATTAAGCTAATGAGCCATACAATGAAGCTCTGGGAGAGAGTCATTGAGCATAGATTGAGGCAAGAGACACAGGTTTCGGACAACCAATTCGGATTCATGCCAGGGCGCTCAACCATGGAGGCAATCTATCTCTTACGAAGATTGATGGAAAGATATAGAGATGGGAAAAAGGATTTACACATGGTCTTTATAGATTTGGAAAAAGCGTATGATAGGGTCCTAAGAGACATTCTTTGGAAGATTTTAGAGAAGAAAGGAGTACGAGTAGCATATATCCAAGCTATAAAGATATGTATGATGGAGCAAGGACTGCCGTAAGAACTCATGAAGGACAAACCAAAAGCTTCCCCATAACTGTAGGGTTACATCAAGGCTCATCCTTAAGTCCTTACCTTTTTGCTTTTTGCAGTGGTAATGGATGAGTTAACATGACATATTCAAGATGATATTCCTTGGTGTATGCTTTTCGCAGATGATATAGTGTTGATAGATGAAACTCAGGAATGGGTAAATGTGAAGCTTAACCTTTGGAGAGAAGTGTTGGATTAGGGGTGAGGATCGGAGATCAGGAAATACCAAAGAGCGACCGTTTTTGCTACCTAGGATCTATCTTGCAAAAGAACGGAGAATTAGATGGAGACCTCAACCATATAATACAAGCTGGATGGATGAAGTGGAAGGGTGCATCAGGCGTGTTGTGTGACCGCCGTATGCCACTGAAGCTCAAAGGAAAATTTTATAGGACGACAATAAGGCTGGTGATGCTGTATGGCACAAAATGTTGGGCGGTGAAGCATCAACACGTACATAAAATGGGTAGCGAAGATGAGGATGCATCGTTGGATGTGTGGGCACACGAGAAAGGATAAGATTAGGAATGAGGATATCCGAGGTAAAGTAGGAGTAGCCGAAATTGAAGGAAAGATGAGAGAAAATCGGTTACGGTGGTTTGGACATGTGCAAAGAAGGCCTACTGACGCTCCAGTTCGAAGATGTGACTACGGGACAGAGGTTCGGGGCCGAAGGGGTAGATGAAGACCTAGGAAAACTTTGGAAGAGACCCTAAGAAAAGACTTAGAGTACTTGGATCTCACGGAGGACATGACAGAGAACCGAGCACAATGGCGTTCGAGGATTCATATAGCCGACCCCACTTAGTGGGAAAAGGCTTTGTTGTTGTTGTTGTTGTACAAAATTGTATAATCCTTTTGAAGCAGTGGGGAGCTGCGGTTTCACTCACGCTTTCAAATTTTGACCACTCGCTCATTGTAATATCTCTCTCTCTTTCTCTCTCTCCCTCCATCCCTCCCTCCCTCCCCTATTACATTTGGGTTTTCTCCTGTTTCTCTTTTTGTTGATCTAATTTGTGGTGAAGCTGTTTAGTTTGCTTGAATTGGAATGTGGGTTTAATTGAGTTTCCTTTTGTTTGTCAATTCGATTTTGGGAGGATTGGCATGTGGTTGTTCAGGCCTTTACAACCACTTTGTGTCTGGCAAAGGTAATAATATTACTCTTCGTTTCATAAGCTTCATTTTTAATGCCCAGAAAAATTTGGAATTGAGAACATGATGGGGTTTTAGGCAATACCTAAGTTCTGTAATTTTCCCCGTTTGTTGTTATTAGCAATTTCTTGAATCATGTTAGTTTGATAGTGTTCTGCTGCCCAGGATTTTTTTTTTGAATTTAAAATATCATGGGATTGGGGTTTTAAGATTTTAACAACAATTGGTAAGAATTTTGGTGAATTTTGATGCTCAATGGACTTTGTTGAAAATTTGGAATTAAGACCATGATGGGGTTTTGGGCAATACCCAAGTTCTGTAATTTTCCCCGTTTGTTGTTACTAGCAATTTCTTCGTTCATGTTAGTTTGATAGTTTTTTGCTGCGCATATTTTTTTTTTTTGAATTTAAAATATCATGGGATTGGGATTTTAAGATTTTAACAACAATTGATATGAATTTTGGTGAATTTTGATGCTCAATGGACTTCGTTAACAGCTTCTAACTTTGTTATGCATTGAAATATTGGTGGGTTTTCGTCAGAGTTTGCTTATATCTTTGTATAGTATGTCTGTTGTATTATCTTGTCACAGATACCTTAGTTCAGTAACTTGAGAAGCAGGGGGAGATAATAGACTAATCAAGGAGGTGCATGTGATAAACGATAAACAAGTAAGCATCATCCTCTTCCTTCTTTTGTTATGGTTGGTTGTATAGAGAATTGAGAAAAAAGTTGAAGACAATTTTGCGCTTTTGAGTTATATCAATAAAATGACATTGATTAGTTCACTTAAGTGTTGAATCATTCGTTAGTTTATCTGTGGTGTGTGCTTGAGAATGAAAGCAATGGACTTTATATGGAATTGATGTTCCTTTTAATGTCACTAAAGAAAGGAGTTGTTCCTTTATTAGCAATTATATGAAGTAGGCATATTATGCAATACAATGTCTACAATCGACTATTTTACTTTTTGTATAGTACAACTGTTGATCGAAAGCCACAGAAACTACCTAAAGGTCAAAGAACTGTTTGTGTTAGAAGAACAGAATATGGTGTAAAGCTTAAATTTTGGGCACTTTTTTTCAATTACAATAACTTGCATGAAAGTTCAATTGGGTTTGTTATGGTCTCCAAGAATTTTGGTTTGTTTGGTTACTAATTAATTTATGTGGTGGGAGTTTAGTTTTTCCTTTTCTGCCTATTTATCTATGATTCAAAATGGACCGTACAATTTGCTATATATAAATTTGTAATAAAAAAGCTCGAAAAAGAGGTGAATTAGAAACAGTGATGATAGAGTGATGGAGTTGAGAAGTCAAGAGTTTACGGGGTTTACTTGAATTTTTGTATGATGTCCCTGGTATGTTAGATCATTGAGACTAACTGTCTAGTTGGTTAATCACTAATTTGAAGTATTTAAAGTGTAACTTTCCTTTAAATCCTTTTCCTTTTGTATTTTCATTGGAGCACAGATAAAATATATTTCTTTTATCTTTTTCAACCCCAAACTTTCATTGTCTTCTGAGAGTGGTCCAACTAGAGAATTGGATGACAAGTTTAGGTTTAATACATACTTGAGTTCCCACAAGGAAGATGGTATTTTAGAAGTTACCAAATTGGACACTAAGGATAGACTTCTTAAAGATACTGCTACAGTACCCAAGCAGGAAGGAATAGAACCAGATAGACTATTACCGCCCAAAAATAAATTGGCTAGGTTGTTTAGTTGACAGAGTTCATACGGGATATGTCCTCCCAGTTCGTTATCATTCAATACAAACCTTGGAGATTTTGTAGCTGTCACACCCTGATCCCGACATACGTTCAGGATCGATACGTGACGTCACAAAAAACTCGTGTCTCTCACATGCCCCGCCTCCAAGATATGGCAAATTACAACTCGAGAATCAAATTGCAAATAAATTTTTCGTATACTTTAGGGCTGCATCTAACTTCCTCGTTAGACTGCCTACGTACCCTCATTAGGGATCAAGCCATTCGTAGTTCGTTATTCACTAATTTAGACAATTATTCCAGTGCGTTCTAACAGGAATACATAACATTTTGTAATAAATTATTAGAACTTGACATGCATGACATTACCAAGTTCCGGCTACAAAACAAACCAACATACTGTTCAAAATTCTCATTCCAT